CCTTTTTTTCCTTTTTTCATTTTCTTCTTTCTCTCTTTCTTGTCTTCGTGTATTTGTTTTCCTCTCCCTTTATTCTCTCCATCTGTCTTCCTCTCTCATTTTCTCCTTTTCTCTCTCTTTCTTTCCTTCCGTTCTTTCTTTCTCTTCCTTTCTTTATCTTTTTCCCCCTTTTTCCTCTATTTGCTTGCTTCTATATTCCTGCTCCTCGTTCCCTTTCCCTTTCTCTCTCGTCTACCCCCTCCTGGCCCTCTCGCCCTGCCATACCTCCCCTCCACAGCCCCTGCTCGCCGTGTGTTCCGTTTCCATTTACCCCTCCGTATTATTCCTCCAACTTTCTCGCCTGTCTGCAGGTGTGTAGCTATTTAACTCGTGGAGATAAATAAATTAAATAATGATCTTGACACTGCAATGAACCGATTACTGACTTTGATGTCAAAGGGAAACTAAAAACAGAAAGAAAGGGGGAGAGAGAGAGGGAGGAAAAAAGCTATTCCCTCGAGGGGAAAATGCAGCTCCTTGTCAAACCTGTTTCCCCACAACTGTCTCCTTCTTTCAATAAAATCATTAAACAAAGGCCGCGGGGTTATGCGCACCACGCCTTGGGTGCGCGGCCGGGCGCTGTCCTGGGCCGGGCTGCGCCGCGGAGGCTCGCCAGCACCCGCGCAGCCTCGCGGAGCTGAGCGCAGCCGAGCGGAGCCGCTCGCCGGGAGAGGACCGGCGAACAGCTGCCCCGGTCCCGAGCCGTTCCCCACCACCGGGCTCTCTCACCCCCCGCAGCTCCCCTCTGCCATCTTTCCTTTCCCTTCTTTTCTCTTTTTCTTCTTTTGTTTTTTCTTTTTCTTTTTTCTTTTTTTCTTTTTTCTCTTCTCTTTTTCTTTAGCCTCTCGTCTCATCTCCTCTCATCTCGTCTCCTCTCTCCTCGGAAAATGGTTCTGTTTTGGCTCAGCGCTGCCTGCAGGACCACCTAGATACTTGAAGGCATCCAGCCTGGCCTTCCTTTAAGCAAAACACCAAATAGAAAGAGGAAAGAAGTTGGGAGGCAGAAGGAACGGGGAGAACCCTATCTGGTGCCCAGGTGTTGCCACGCGATCGCCAGGGAGCTCTGCTCGCAGGAGAGACAAAGGCAGAAAAGGAATTATATGATGTTAAAAAACTTTATTTTAAAGGATACATTAAGCCCCTAGACGTCTCTGAGAGATATTACTTATTTCTGCTTATTAGTGATAATAGCCCGGTAAATTTGCTATTGAGTGTATCAAAGGCATTCAAAGAGACTTTGAAACATCAAAAAGATTGCAATTCTGATTTTACGGTTTTATTCCAGGCCCGACCTCCTGGCTACATCCCTTGATTGTAGTGTTTAAAAGTAAGCGGTGATCAGAAACACATCCTCCTCCTCTTCCGCTCCCAGCAGCCCCGACCGGCCGCACCGCACCGGGCCGGGGACCCACACGTGCGGCTCCGGCAGCGCCGGCTCCGTGCTCCGCCGCTGCTCCGACTTCCGAGGGCAGAGGAGAACTCGGCCCTGGCAGAGCGCAAGCAGGAGGGTCCCCCCACCCTGAGGGTGCTCACCGCCTCCCTTAGAAAACAAATCAAAACACAGAAAATGCTTTAAAACACGATAAAATTACTACTGAGCTAACTATAGCCCAGCCCGCTTCTGCTACCTCTCCCCCCTCGGGCCGCGGGGGAAGAGCGGGCTGCATTTTCCGCGCTGCTCCTCGCTGCGGAGTGAGGCAGCCTCTGCCACTGCTTTTGATGTGTCTGTAATTTACGTTTCCCCCCCGCCTTTCTTTCTCTTTCCGTCCTTAATTTTGCTTCCGTGTCTCTTCTTCCTTCACACGCCTCTGTTCTAGTTGGGGTGTTTTATACCAACATCAAAGGGACAACCCAGCCTTTATTATCTCCCCCCCCCCCCCCTTTCCTTCCCTTTTTATTAGGGCAAAATACTTCGTTATTACTGAATGCGCCGCATTTGGAAAGCTAAACAAGAAGTAACGTGCAGGGTCGGTGCATGTCCACACTGCAACGAGCCAACATGTGTATGCCTAAAAGCCTAGAAATTAAATACAGGTTGATCCAATTTAAAAAGGAGAGCGAGGGAGAGGGAGCCGGCTCTTTGAGTGCGTGAGAGAAAGAGGGGAAGAGATGAGTAGCTGGTAATTATTGAAATATAAGGATGAGATTAATTCAAAGGAAACAAACTATGAAAACAATTGGAGCCGAGTGAAAAGCAAAACCCAGATTAGAATTTGCTTGTGGTTTGTTGTCTGTCTGCTTTCTTTCCTCCTTCCCACCCATTGTCACAGTGCAAGGCAATGGGATTTGCACACTTGAGGTGTAATAGCATTACTGCATTAATTAAAATTTTCATTTCACGTCCAGATTGTTTACTTATCTGCTGGAAACATATGTCGGGAGAAGTTGAGATTCTGGATTCTGCTCCGCTGCCCAAGGTGCAGCGCAGTACAGGGGGGGAGAGGATGACTTCAGATTTTTTTCTTTTCCATTGCATCCTCCAGCCTTATCTCTCCGCTGTAAATTATAAGGAGACTCCATTGAACTGAATATGAAGATTATATTTGCAACGGCGCGTCCTAGAGCGGACCCGGTCCCACTTTGAGATGAAACAAGACGTCTTGCGGGCCCTGAGCGCCCCCCCCTCTCCTCCCTCCCCGTGCCACCTCAGCTCCTTTGGTCCGGGGTGGGGGGGGGAATGGGACCCCCCGACATCTACCCTGTCCGGTGGAGAGGGAGGGAGAGCAGCGATGATCCCCTCTCCTCCCGGGATAGCCCTCCGCTTCTCCCCGCTCCTGCCCGGGAAGCAGCGCTGCGAAACGGGACCCTCCCCCACCTCCCAAAAGCCGTGCTTTCCGAAGCGGCCCCCAAAGAACCCACAGCCGGGGGTGTGTGGCTGAGCAGCCCCGTCCCTGCTGTCGGGACAACGGCCGCACCGTCGGGGAGGGCGCTGCAGCGAAGCCGGTGCTCTGTGCGGGGCAGCGCGGCGAGGGGTGTCCTGCAGCACTCAGGTGCTGTTGGTGAGAGCCGCCTGTTTATCTGCCTCCCCCCCCTTTATCTCTTTTATTTGCCTTTTTCGGGGTGTGTGTGAGGGTATTATTGTTACTATTATTATTATTTTGCCCTTTTTATTGATTTATTTTTTTTAAGAGACCCCTGAGAAGGCAGCGAGGTGCTGTCCTGTCTGCCGGGTCTATCTGTAATTGAATCTAGGTCAGTTATTCTAAAGCATGGGAGAGTCTGATTCCCTCTTTCCGACATCAGCCCGGAATTTGGGGGGTGGGGGTGGGGGGGTGGGAAGGAGAGAAAGGGAGAAGAGGGGGGTCTTGCAATTTCATTTAAAATGTAATGGTGGATGAACCGATAAGCAAATAGGGGAAAAAAAGGGCTCTGCTTAAAAGAAAAAAAAAAAAAGGCATGCTTTTAATATGCTTCCAGATGGGGGCAAAATGATTTACATGGGAGTTTATTTCCTCTTTGCTGATATGAAAGAATTACAGATACAAAACCCACTGATCTATAGAATAAAAAAAAAAAGAAAAGAAATGTTATTTTCCTGTAAAAGTATCAGTTCATTTATATTCATTTAACCATCCATCCATCAATTCACTTTCTCACTCTCTGCACATTCTCTCTGCCTCTGGTAAACCTACCCCACCAATATACTTTTCTGGAATATACAATGAAGTTTTCTTAAGAAAAAAAAAAAAAGGAAATAATATGAGATTCAGCTGAAGTAGCTAAAGCGAAGTTTCCCTTCTTTCCCCACCCAGCCCCTGTTTTATGTTACAGACTTTGAGTAAATCAGCAATGTGGAAAAGAAAATGTTTGAGTTTGGGGAAAAAAAAGTCTGTGTATATCTGTAAATAATATATGCAATACAGATGTTCTATATGCCCCTACATGTGTATATATAATATATATAGAGCGGAGTTTGTGTGCTCAACATGTATGTATTGTGTCTCTATACTTATGTTGTACAAACAGTTCATTCCCTCCCTATGTGCGTGCCTCTAAAATAAAATATACACATATTGTACAGATATTTACAGCATTCATATATCGTAAGTACACGTACGTAGATTTAAACATACATCCAGCTTGCGTATGCTGTATATATGCACAATATATATGATGCCTATGCACATGCACATGCAATGGCAACATCTCTCTCAGTAGGAGCAGAATGTTTGTATTTAAACATAAAATATTTTCTTACATTCTTAACACGTATCCTTTATGAGCATTGAGGCCCATAGAGCCTCCTCCGTCCACGTATAGAGGGAGTGCAATACTGGAGGGCAGGAATCAGCCTGGTGGCCTCAGACCTTCACAATGTAAAGGCCACATCTGTGTTTTTTGCATTTGGGATGGTACCTGAACCTGAGGTGCCATTTCTTTTATAGAAGTAGTGACCAGAGAGCAAACCTCTTTCACTCTTAGTAACAGCTTCAATTACTAAAGCAAAGCTGCCCTAGGTGAGCTCTTTCCTGTGACTGCTGCTTGCTAGGGCTGTACCCGGCAGGAGGTGGCTTCTGTCTTCCCATGCTCTCAGCATGGTGGCCCTCACTTGCAGGAATAGTTACAAGGAGGATAAGGCTGTGCACCCAAAGATGGAGGAGGCTGTTAAATCATCCATCATTTCCCAGAGACCTTCAGGCTGGAGGGATGCGGAATAATTTCTTTTTCTGGTCTAAACATAGAATCAAAAGCTGTGTAAGGAGTCGCCTTTTTGTTGTTAAAAACAGGTAAATAGAGAGACAGCTAGATATGAAAATACCTATATATACAGATAAAAATATACATCTTTATCTTCAGCTACATATGGATATAGATCCAAATGTAATTTTTCTTATGGCTGCCATTAAGAAGAGCCTCAGCCAGGGCTTGGGGGGTCCTCAACATTCTGTTTTTCAAATCCATGTATAAATAAACTAACCAGCCAATCACCCCAAGATCAAGCAACCTGGTGAAAACAGCTACCTCATGGATGCCTGCCCCGTGCAGATCCCCTGTACAACTGTGAACCGGATCAAAGGCTGGAGTTACCAGATCCCTTATTGTAAGTGACACTTGCAAATGTTAACCCTGCTTCGTGTTTCCAACCCATACCTGAATAAATACATAATCATATCACACAGCATAATTAATAAGAGTATCACCATGAAGGACTCTTAAAGGAAAGGCTGTTGAAAGAGAGTTCCTGAAGATAATCCTTTTAAAAGGTTTCCTTAAAATGCAACCACTAGCGGGAATAAGGTAGGTTTAGTTCCAACATCTCAATACCTCTGCTTAGCACAGTTTTAGATCTTGTAAATGTCTTTCCTTTAATATTGGCTTGACTTTTGATTTGGGACTTGCACTTTTTTGGAGGATCTCATTGCTGCTGTGGTTCTCAATGGAGAAGGTCCCCAGAGGAGGCCCAGCCTGGCTCCCCTTTCCATTGACCCATCGGGGACTCACAACCTCGTTTCTGCTGGAAATCAAACATGATTGCGTCTTGCCTGCTTGTAATAACCTGTCCAACTTCACCATTCTGGAGCAAGAACTGATGTCCTGCACTTTTGTTTAATGACCCATTTGAGTAACTTTCAGGGTGCTGCTTAATTTGTCTTTTTTCCTTATCCTGGATGGCACCCCAACTCCTGGGCCATGGAAACGGGGCTCGGCTGCTCCCAAGCTCTTTGCTTAGTGGTGTTGCTTGAGTCCTCCATTGTGCTTAGAAAAGTCCTGCGTGGCACCCTCTGCCAGAGTCGGTAAGTAAATCACTGGGGTTTTGTGCTTTTACAAATGATGTCTGTGTGAAATGAGGAGATACATGTGATACAGCAAGCTCTGCTCTCAGAACCCTTCTCCTTCCTCAGTTTACCATCCCATGTGTTCTTTCCGTGATTATTTTGCATGCTCACATTGCTGAGGCTGTGTGGTGGTGGGTAAAACTTGAGGAGCTCAGTGCTCACAGGGGAGTAGACCCCTGTTAGGAAGCCCTGGTCCTGCCTTTAGGAAGGAAAAGGTCCTGCCTTTTGCTGTCATTGCTTGTCTAGAGCTTCAGCCCAGGATTCTTCTTGCTGATTTTCAGCAGGAAAAGTTTAGATTTGTGAAAAATGTCATCATACTGGCATGGAAATAAGTGAGGGCTTTTGGAGTAAGAAATGATGGACACATCCTCCCAACAGGAATAAGTAAAAAATACAAAATAAATATTACATTCATTTAAATCAGACTTTTTGTTGGCTTGTTTGTTTCTTTGCCCTAGAACTGTGGATAATCCTTTAGAATATCCCAGTCCAATTTTATCAGTTGGTGACAGGTTTGGTGTCCAAACTCTCTTACCCCACAAGGAATTTTTTGCCTCTGGAAAACTAGGAAACATACCCAGCAGAGTGCAGACCAGGCTGTCACATTGTGGTCGTGTGCATGAGGGAAAGCAGGATCAGGGCAGCATAAGAGGTCATGTTCCTGGTGGTTCAAAATGATTTTAGGTCTTTTGGCTTTGCAGTAACCACACAAAGCAGTCCACCCCCAGGAAAGCTTTGCAAACCAAACCCACTGTGGTATGAAGGAGGACTGAAATGTACTTGCACCCTACTTGCCCAGGTTTTATTTTCCCTGGTTTATCTCTTAGCTGTAACTGCACTATCACATCTGAGCTTTCTCCAGCATTCTTTTTTCTCGGCAAGGTTAGAGACCTCTGATTTAGAGTATTTAATTGCTTGTAATTTCTCCTAATTTCCATGTAGTCATTTTTAATGTTTGCCTCTTTCCTTCCCTGTGAGCTATTAGTGTGAGTCATTTTGTTTCTTGACACAGGCAAGGGTTTTTCCCCCTCTCCTTTTCCATCCAGCCCTACTTATATGGGAACTCCCCAGCCAGGTAGGGAAAGGAGAAAGGGAATTAGATCTTTATCAGAAACTTACTTTCACCTAAGATTTCTTTAGATCAGTAAGTTAAACAGGGGCCAACAAAAGGCAAATTAATGTTTTCTTCCCCTCTTAGAAATAACCCCTCTGCAGCCAAAAGTATTCCCTCTCCTCCTTTGGAGGCAAACTAGGAGGTGGTGTGACCATATGTCCCTCTCTCAGATGTACCAGTGTCAGTCCTCAGCAATGGTTTGATCTCATTTTTTTCTCTCTTTGGCTATAGAGTGTCAGGGAAGGTAAGAACTAAATTTCTATCAGGAAAATAGAAAGAAAATAAAATAGGAAAATGGGGAAGGTGGCATTAAAAACCCCAGCGTTGCTTCAAATTCCTGCCAACTTTTCAGGCCTTTGTAACTAAGCCAAAAATAAGGCTAGAAATCCACCTTTCTTCATTTGCAGGTCACCTTGAAGGGTAGATGGGTAGCTCTTTTACTAGCATTTATTTCAAGAAGATTTCAGTGAAGAATGTAACAATGACAGAAATTCTCTGTTTCCTCACAGGTCCTCAGTTTTGTCTTGAGGATATGCAAGCGCTGGACAACTCCACACTGTGTATATTCACCCTGATGCAGCAACATAGTCTGACTTGAGGTACGAAGGAGGTATGGCACGAAGATGCTTTAGCATAATTTTTGAATCACCTCTAGGCCTCACAGCCCCCACATTCATGTTCAAATAGCTGCAGGGTGGGAGGAGATGCCTACATAAAAGTGGGCAAGCAGCTGCTTTCCACTCAGATAACATCCCTCCATTTTGTGTGAGATCTCCTTGATGCTCCTGTGAAAAGAGGTGGCACTAATGCGTTTCTCTCTCCTCCCAACTGATCATTCTGCATGGAGCTGAGCCACTCCCTTCAACGTGAGGCTAAGTGGGGACAGGACCCCCAGGGTTACTTCCCTTACTGCGACATTGGGAGCACCTGTTGCCTGGAAAGAAACCATCCAGAAGGTCAAACTATGCAGGTGCTTTAGTTTAGTCAAAGTGGTTTTCACAGCCTTAATTGATAACTGATGAGAAAATCTTCTGCTCTGCACATATGCATGCATATGTATTGACACACACACAGACATGTGTGTGTATAAATAGATCTCTTTAAATTTAAATAGATTTAAAACCAAGGACAGGAAGGTGAATAAAAGGTTCTTAGGAAAGATCTAGCACATCTGCATGCACTTCTGTGGGGATTAAATGTACAGTAGGTTGCATTCAGTGCTAATGCTCCTATTAATTTGTATTTTTCATTGTTGCTTTCACGTTTGTCAAGCTTCAATGAAGGGATAATGAAGTAAATGGATGTTAACTACAAATTAATCATCCCTGCCTTGATAGCTTTAACACAGGTTCTTACCTGCGTACTTTCTTCGCACAGAAATTGTAGCAAACTTTCTATATCTATACCAGCAAAACCAGTGGGACGTTGTAACACAGCAGAGAAAGAGAAATAAAAAGAAGGGAATTGGGATGCCTTCCTCAGGAAACTGCAGATACTCATTGGAACTGTTGAATTTGAATTGTGAGAAAGCACTGAGGAGGCTGAGGGCATGATAGTTTTGCAAGGAGACCTTGCTGGAAACTGTGTGTTGATCATGGGCAGGTAGGACTTTTGGTTGTGTTTAACTCCTAAAAGGGCAGATCTTCTGAGGGTTTATTTTTCTAACTGGACTGTATCTCTTTTCGCTGTGCAGCAAAGAGACACGTATTTACGTGGATGTATTTAGAAATGTGCAGGCTTTTTTTCTTTGTTGCAAACCTCCTTGCTTGACTTTGGAGCTTGATGTCTGTGAGTCTGGTCATGTTGTGGTATCTGGCATTGGGAAAGCTGGAGAATCCCTTTGGGTCTGAATAGGAACAGAACTGGAGAAACCTCAGGCTCCCCAAGTCCCTTGAGTGTGAGTGGAGCTGGACTGAAGGCAGTTACAGAGCCACCAGCCCCAGCAGTTCATCATCTCAGAGATACACATGCCTCTGCTGAAGGCTTTGGATACCCTTTAAATGTATATTGGGCAGCTGTCCCTGCAGATGAACTACATGAACTTTTTGCAGTTTAGACTTTGACCCAGGCAAACACAGGAATTTCTGCTTTTTAATTTCTGATGAAGTGGTGTTTGATTTTATGCGGACAGGGCAATGGCCTCATTTTGTGCCAGCAATAGAAACAAATGTAGATTTTGGTTTTATCATTAATTGCTCACCTCTGCTGTGATCACTTGGCACTATGTTCTACTGTCAAATCAGACTTCTTTTTGTTCCCCTTCTCCATATCACAGGCTGCTGTAGGTCTTTGCAGCCAAGTTGACTTCTGCTGTGACACCCCAGGAAGTCACTGGTGTCCTGTGAGGGGCCTTGGCAGAGCCCAGCGGCCCCCACACTACCAGCATCTGGTCCTGGTCCTCATTTCTTGGTCATCAGTGTGATGCCATGTCCAACTCCACAGTTGGCCCCGAAGGTGCTTATATGTCAGTGTCCACAGATCTTTTTGCAAAGAAGGAAACACTCGGTCAGACTGAGACTGTTAAGTGATAAGTTCATGCAGCTGTACCAGCTTTTGTCCTTCTCTGGGCACACACTGGCAGTATTGTCCAATCCATAAATATGTAAAACTTTCAGTGTTCTTAAAGATGGGCACTTCATGGACAAACTAGTACTCCCCAGAGCAAGTGGTGACTGTAGGTTCATCCCCAGAACATCCTGCAAGATTTGAAGGTATCATTGGTTACTTGAGAAGAGGCATTATAGACTGTTTGGGCATTTCTTAAATCGATTTTTTGTCCATTCCTTTTTATCATCTTCCTCTTTGCCAGTCCTTGGTGCAGTCTTTTGCTCTCTTCTATTGATCAAGCACTTGATCAGTTGATTGACTGATTACTTGATTCACCAAGAAGTTTTACGTATTTGCCCCAACACTACTTTTTGTCATCCCAACCTAGATTTATCGCTGGTCTTTCCTGTATGAAATGCAATGTTTTGATAAAAAACAAGATCATTCTCTAATCACCATCCTTCCACACCTCTCCCAGGATATCACCTTTCCTGTGGTCTCCATGAGTCATTTGGAGGCACTAGGTGACACCTTTCTGCATAGACTTCCCTCTCCTGCTGCCTTGGAAAAGCAGTCAAACTTCCATACCTGCCTGTTTCATAGTCTACCCTGTCTTTGGGTTGGGTTAACCAGAAGTTCTGTTTGTGGGTCCATTCCCTGCACTCGACTCATCTGGATTAAACACAGACCTTTCTCTCTGCCTCTTCCCCTCCTCTCTTCATGTTTCCTCCTTTCCTGTGTCCTCCCCATCCCGATGGGTGCAGATAACATTTTTTTCACTGTCAAAGCTGTAACTCCATGGGTTTTCAAAGGCATGGATTTTATTCCTTACCCACCATCTCCACTATACACTCTCCAAGCTGAAACATCTCCATTTGTTTTCTTGGCCACAGAAAAAAACAAACATAGCAGTTGAGAGGTACATAAGTATTCCAGAATTCGCTTCTCTGGTGGTAGTTTAACATTGACCCATGGCCACTTCTGTGGCTCTTGCATAATGCTTTAAACTGAGTGTTTCTTTTGTTTTGTTTCCAGCCCAAGAATTCATTCTTTAATAAAAAAATTCAGAAGTGTCTCTGAAGGATATGGGCTCATAAGCATATGACAGATGTGCAAGCTTGCACTTATGTGGTCCCTGTGGTCTCAGCTACTTGGATTAACGAGGGTCCAGTGTAATCCTTGCTTTCTCCTCTTGCAGATACATGCAAGAGAGACACGGAATGACTTTTGCTTGTCAGGCACCTTCTCCATCATGTGTGCATGGTTGCTGCTCGGAGAGCCTTGGAGAAGAGAAAGAAAGGCTCTCAGTGTCCTGGCCAAGCATCTGGTTTCTTTTCCTTGTTGCCCCCACGGCTAGAGGAGCAGCACTCCTCTTGTGTAACTTACCCTGCCTAAAGTCTCCAGAAAGTCAGCTGTTAAATCCAACTCCAGATGTTTGTTGTTTGGGAGCTAGCCCTACCTTCCTGCTTGTTTTTCACAGGCCCACATCCTTGTGATCTTTCAAGAGCTTGTCCACCCAAAGCAGCAGAGACCTGCCTCTCCTCCCACACTGGTGCTGGAATTTGAATGTGATGGGTGCTGTGGTCAGAGCTGTGCAAACCTGGCCTTGGCTGGAATTTAGGATCCTAAATCACACAGGTTTGTCTAAAAATAAAATACAGGCTCATAAGTGTCTCAAGCATTTTATCCCATTTTGTGGGGATATGTGAGATATTTCTAAACGGAGTCAGGAATGAAGGAAGCAGCTGGGTACATTTTAATTCTAATTTTTCCTATATATCAAGCGTTAAATTAACAAGTGAGGGAGAACACTACAGAAGAGCTATCTGCTGTTTAGACAGGCATATCAGGATAAAATTACTCTGCTTGCCCATGGTTTGTCTGGATGATCCTGGAGCTGCACCAGTAAAGAGTATAATTGTGCTGCTATTTGAGGTTTCAGATTTGGTGCTGCGAATCCTCCCCTCTGACTATGCAAGGTTTGCTCCATGACATTAGGTAACTATTCCCCATAGGCAATTTTTACCCAGGGAAGGTGCAGAGCTCCTCAGAAGGTGTGGGAGGAAAGGGAGAAGGGCTCAGGCAAGAGACTTCTGTTTGTAATTGTGAGGGTGGTTGGCTCGGATGTTTGTTGGAGAGAGGTTTTCCCTGCAGCTTTTCAGTAGGGGGGGTCTAATTGGCACAGGAAAGATTTTGCAGCCAAGAGAATGGTTTCTATTTCTGAATGGTTGGTGCAATGCACACACTATTTCAATATCATCCAGTAGATTTAATTTTTCTTTTTCTATAATAAGAATTGCTGTGCTGCCTTCAACTTTGAGTAATTGAATTTAAAATCAGAACACTCTTCAGAATCTTTTATTTGTTGCGTGATAACAGGCACTGAGGTCTTTGGATCAGTTAACATCAAGATACGTCACCTCCGGGCTCTGCACAGCTGGCCTGTACCGTGCACGTGCACGTCGAGTACTCCTGTCTCTGAGTAAATGGTTGGTATTGACTTTCGCTGAAGCTCAGTCATAAAATGCTTCAGTGCACTGAATATGATGATTTTTTTTTTTCCTCAATCCAAGTCCCAAGAGGACTCACTCCAGATATTCCCACTCAGTGAAATATTGTCTCTGCAGCCAGAGAAAGCAATCTCCTGAGTATGAACCTTGAAGCAGAGGAACGGGTTATTTCTCAACAACCTTTTGATATTTTCAAACCTTCAATCTTTCGGGGATTTATGGACTTTGCTAATACATAGGACTGACTCTGGACACTAAATGCCTCATTTTCACCAAATCTGTAATTATTCCCTTTGCACATTTCATGTCATATAGCTGTGGGGATAGTATCATTGTTCCCATTTTATAGATGTGAGAGTTGTGCTGCAGAGAGATGCCTGGAAAGTGTACACAAGTCTATTTTGCATTGCTGACTTCCTTTTGCAGTGCTAGTACAGCTAAGGGATGCTTGTGTGTGTGTATCCTCCTGCGTTTGTTGTGTTTGCTGGTAAATCTGTTATTTCTTCTCCTTGTTTTTAAGGTCTTCTGGCTCCCTCAGTGTGAGCGTTTCCAGAGGTAACTCTTTTCACCTATAAAGCAGAGATGGAACGAAGTGGGAGGAAGCTCCCCCTTCTGCAAGATGGTGTATTTGACAGCAGAGATGGAGCCTGAGGTTGCAAAAGTCCTTTAAGGAGTATGGATTTCCAGATGTCATTTACTGTATTAAAAGCTGGACACCCAATCCAACTCCGAAATGCTTGAACCTGGGAGTTGCTGGCATCAAACCACCGTGAGTCAGCCATGTGGGACAAATGGCACTTGGTGTCCCAAGGAGTTCCTGAGGGATTATACTGTGACGATGGATGTGCACGGGCATGTTGAAGAGACACAGAAGTTAGAGCAAGCAGGACCCAGCTCAGCCCTAATGGTTGTCCCTGAGCTTGCAGGTAAAGACTACCACAGCAGGCAATTAACCCTGTTGTAGGTAGGCAAGAAAGTCAGGACTCACTTGATTTCTTGGTTTATTCCTTATGAGGCTACAAGCTCATTTAATGTTCACACAAAGTTCTGAGTGACCATGTGGACCTGGAGCTCATGATATCTTCCTTCTTTTTCAGTCCACTAGAGCATCCCTGAAAACATTTTTACTTTGATCACAGTTGCTTATAACTAGCAAAGTCACACAGGAAAAACATGAATGTATTTACATGCGGAACCCCCCAGATTTTTGTATAACAAATAAATTTTTATCAAAAATTATTAATTATTAAAAATATTGACTTCTGCAAATTTCCATCAGTTTCAAAGAACTGTAGGGATGTCAGCATTGCATGTTCTTTATGGAGAAGTGCTGGGGCTGCTTGCTTAATTCTGGCTTGAGGGGGAAGAAACCCATAACCAGCAACATCTACTGAATTAATTAAAGGCTGAAACTCAAACTAAAAAATAATCCACAGGTAACAGGTGTGAGGGCACAGTTCTGCTGCAGGTGAGGTTTGCATCTGAAAAGTTAGCTCTGATTATTTTTCCTGTCAATTCCTCCAAACCCCAACTCATCAGTCCTTGTTTTCCTCTGTTTCTCCAGTACATTTATATATACACCAAAGACTCGAAAAAGGCAGCACAGATTTCATTTCTTGTTCTTTCTAACCTATAAAGTTAACCCCTGCTAGCACAGATTTCACTACAGCACCCCTGTATTTCCTGCAATGCTGTGGAAATAGCATCAGAAATTATAACACTCCCTGTGAGGACATTACAGCTTCTGATTTGGGTTGCCAAAACATTCCTTCCATGCCAGTCGTCCTCCCTGAAGCTGCCACTGGAAATACTTAACTTCACCTCGGTGTCATCACTGATTGCCTCCTTACCAACATTTTGGACAGGCTCATGGCTGGATTAAAATGTATTTTTCCTGTTTTACACGTTTTCCCAGGTCCCTGAGGCACAAAGTCCTGCTGGAGAGGACAGGGCTAGAGATGCTGCTAAAAAGTAATGAAAGCACAATGCAAATAGCATCCTTTTACTGGGCTTTGGGAATGCTCGTGTGTTGACTGGATTTGTACCCTCCAAGCAGTTTCTGGTTAAAAAGAAGCATGAGGAGTACCATATTGCCCTGGGTTAGATCTCTTGGGACCTGCTGAGGTGTTAGTTGGTTGCACACTTGTTGCTGCACACTTACCTGTTTTTTCCATGCCAGCTGCATGTATGCATCAGCATGAGTTCATATATGTCAGCGACGTCACAATATGATGTTTTCTTTTTGTTTTCTCATTCCACCTTTCCAGGTTGCCAGAGGCTGAAGATCTCCCATTTGGTCTCCAGAGTTCCATGGAAATTACGACAACAATGTTTATGTGCTATTCTAATGTTGGTTTTGGCAGGATAAGTGCTTTTTAATGCATAGCATTAAATAGTGTGTCCTATTCTCTCTCCTACAGAATGTTTGTCTGGAGGAATGTAATTCCAGCTTCTGCTTCAGCACGGTTACATACCCACATCAGGCATGGTTAGTGCCACCACTGAGCATTATTTGGTTTATTTGGCATCGTCCATATGAGAGCCATCTTGACAGAGTGAGTGTTGTCATCCCCAACAGGATCAGGGATCCTGTAACTGCATACTGAAGGCAACAGGACTTTAGAAGGGCATTCAGGGAGTGATGAGCAGTGGTGGCACACAAGGGGAATATCATGAGATGCTGCCATTCCCATGCAAAAATCCAGCAGGACACAGGTAGTGTGTCACATTGGGTAACTAGTCTCGTGATGGCTCCTAGCCACTGATGGAGACTGGTCTGCTGACTGCACCCACACAGGCTTCTGGCTATGGGTTTGCAGATACAATTGTAAGCACTGGTCAGGGGTGGTGACACTGCTAAGAGTCAAGAAACACCACAAAAGCAGCTTCCTCATACTGGGTGGGTTCTTACAGCTTTTGGTTGTCCCAGCACAAAACTGCTGGGGAAGGGAGCTCATCCTGAAGCAACACACCTACTGAAGGTACTTGGTGCTGATATGTCATCTGATCTGATGGTGCTTTCTTGAACCTTGGCATGTCTTGCTCTCAGAAAACACTGTCTTGAAGAAAACTGGAAGCACCTGTGGAAAAGCAAAAACCTGCAGAGCCTGTGGTAGTCTGTGTGAGGGTAGGGATTTATTCACTCTGCACCAGGAAGTTTGCAGAGTGAAGGCTGCATGCACTATTGTAAGAGACATAATGTGGGCTTAAAATAAACACAATTATTGTGCTTCTGTTATGAAGTATATGTGAGAAAGACCATTTCATGAGATGTATGAGGGCTCTGACCCACCTTCATTAATGTTGCTATCTGTTTAAAGTGAGTAATTGCAGTGAAGTGCCAGTCACGTTCCCGTTGTGCTGAGAAGTCTCCAGAAGAGGTTCAATTAACAGAAGCTGATGAGCTGCAGTGTGGGGAACCTCAGTAAACCTTTCCCAGATTAGTCATAAGAGCCAGCCCTTGTACAGCGCTTGTCATCAGCATGTGTCAAAGTGTTCCATAAAGTGCTTCCTGCAGCGCTTCCCTTGCACAAAGTAGGGTCATGGATGAGCAAAAGGCTCGCCCAAGGTTGTCTGGGAGCCAGAGGCAGAGCTCAGTTTCTGTGTCCTGGAGCAGTATCTTTGGCCTCTGTGTTGAATGGCACATCTGCTCATAGAGATGTAGGAATCCTGGCTGGAAAACAGCAAAGAATCCTTGGCCCTTGCAGCCCAGGAGACAGAGGCAAATCAGATGTGATAATAACCAGTGTTTCAGGTGCTACCTGGGGGGATTTCAAACACCACTGTTGTCTTCGAGGAGATTACATTCATCAGTTATCTTGGAAGTTGGCCACCCTTTTGCCTTCACCCAGAGGTGGTTTGCTCTGTGAAGATGTCTGTCTTCCACTTGCCTGCTGCTTCTTTCACTGCAGTAAGGGGCTGTAGCCATTTCCAGCACGGGGCCTCCAACTAGGCACTGATACTCTGCTTTCCTGGTGGGTTTTAGCTCAACAGGTCATCTGTCCTGGTACTCTTTCCATTCAGAGGTAGTGAAAGCCCAGCTGTCTCCTGCCAGGACCAGTGTCTTCCAGGGGATTCCCTTGGGATCCTGGTTCTCTCATGAGCAAGGAGAGATGGCCACGGCAAAGAGACCTTACCTTTTTTGCCAAGGCCATCAGTCTCTGGATGCTGGTAGTCTGAGGCTACCTTGTCCAGGTGGCAAGTAGGAATCTGCCTTCTGCATGCAAGAGCTGAAAGATGCAGAGCCCAAAGATGCTAACAAGCTAAAAAAAAACAGGAATTGTGTTTCACTGTAAAGAAACCCTCCTGACTGCTTTTCTGTATCTATCTGTATTACTGCTTTCCAATGTCTATGCTTTTCTATATTCACTGTGTGGCTGTAGAGGTTCAAATTTGCCCTGAAGTTCAGCACAAATGAATCCCAAAAGCTGTTCCCCTGGATGCTCCTGTGAGCTCCTGGCGAGGAGGTCAGAGAAGACATGAGGGATGCTGGAAACACACAAGCAGCAGAGAAGCAAAACATCTCCTCTGTGTTTCTGTGACTGTGTTCATCTGAAGTGACAGTCCACGGTCCACGTCCTGTGCCTGCCCCAGCTTGGACATTTAAAGACCAAAAGTTGCTCCAGCACCAGAGTCAGCAAAAGCCCAACAGAGGCTGTTGGGGGAGGTTTGGTGACTGGAAGCTTTCTGCCTGGTGGGCAGGCAGAGCAATGCTGTTCATGGCTTTACTTGGGGTCTGTTGTATCTTGTAAAGATGAAAGGATGTTCCCAGCTCTCACCTGCTCTCTCAGAGTGGGGGGATCGAGTTTGAGGGAAAACCGATGAGAAAATATTTACTAACCTAACTATTAAGTGAGGTCTCTCTATTGGAGAATTTAATCTTGAGGACATTGTTATCTCTGTTAGGTTTTCTGTATCTTAGGTACTCAATAAATGATTGCTAAAGTAATTCGGCATTCTCCTCTCAGTCAGAGAACACAGCACCATGTCAGCTCTCCAATGACACTCTCATTCAGTAAACAAACACAGGCAGGGTAGGTACATGGTTGATAAAACTCTGAAAGCAGGTCTGAAACACATGTCTGGAGCTTCAAAAAGTGTTGGAAACACTCTGTGGCCGGAGACTGTAGGAATGAGGTAAGCAAGAGCCACAGGAAGACATCCACAGGAAAATGACTTCAGAAACAGTTATGGGATGGCAACAAGGTGGTGCTTAGCTATGCCATGGAAATATCTACTCGACTCCCCAACACTGAAGAAAGTGTGGTTGTCTGTCTCTCCATGACCTGGGGCTCCTCCTCATGCCTTACATTTTCCCTGGACAGGTTTGGAGCCCCGACATTCACAGAGATGCTTTCCTTTAGTGGTGACACCCAGCATAGCATCCTGCATCAAGGCAGACTTACCTTTCTGTTGTTCTCCCTCCCTCCCTTTCTGGGATGGACCTGTTGGATCTCCCTTTGGCTTGCCCCCTCTGGCTATATGTGTCCCTTATCTGCGCTGCATTCCCACTACTTGCAGCCTAATATATCAGCTGTGTGGGGCTGTGCATGCAGCTCCATATCATGATGCCCACTCAAAAGTTTTTTCAGCTTAGTTGTATCACGGATAGGTGACTTTGAGCACTGGAATTGGAGATCCAAGGTTCAGCCAGGGACACTGCCACTGTGGTCCCATGGGGTCCGAATGCAGCTTTGTCCTCTTGTCCCCGTGAGATGCAATTCATCCTCA